AGAAATTCAGGAAGACAATAAAAACCCAACCCTAAATCCTGAATCCATAAAGGGCCACCTACTTTTACAGGATAAATTTACCAAAAAAGTTTACTCCCCCTCTGAGTTATGAACAGGTTTTGGAAGTCTTCGAGACATTAAAACAGGGCCTTATTTTGAGCCCTTGTCCTCATGATTTAACCTGTTTGTCACTGAGAGAGGAAGTACTCCTAGAAATGGCCATACATGATAATGCACCTGTTCAACAGCCAGTAGCTTATCTCAGTAAGGAGCTTAACATGGTAGCTTTGTTCTCAACATCAAAATTTTCAACATCCAAATCTGTCCAATTACCAACTAGAAAAAAAAAGTGGTTAAAGCACCTTAGACATGAGGTTTCTGCTCAGAATAGCAGTTTCCCCAGCTCCTTCTACACCTCAGCCAGGACTTACATTGAAATGCAAATGGAAAAAATCCTGCAAGCTCCTGAGACTGATCCCCCTGCCCAAGAAAAAAAAGTAAGAGTTTCTTTCACAGGAACTCAAAGGAGACTAAACCAAAAAGTAAATTGTATGGTGCTTTACTAATTACTGGCCGGTCATTTTTTCCTAGGACTCTTGCTTTTTCTTAGATTCTGTATTTAGCTCATGATTTTGGTCCTATGCATCTAGGTTAATGTTTTTCTGATCAGTCCTATTTTTTATTCAACTGTGGAGGTTTTAAACTTGTGTAACATTGTGATGGAGATTCACCTGCGAAAAGCTACAAGGCCTTTGCTATTGTGTCATGTGTGCACACTTGTGTTATGTGTTGTATGTCTATATGTGCATATGTCCATATGTCATATACATGATATAAAAATTGGCAGATATATAGGGAGTGCTCATAAATTAAAAAAATATCCAAATACCTTTCATGTGATTTAAAATGGTTCAATTTAAATTGGGTAAACACATGGAAATAAAGATGTCTTTAAAATTAAACTTAAGTTTCTAGGTGGTCAAAGAACTAATAAAATGTTGATGACTATAAATGTCTAAGATCCCTTGGTTTTAGGACTTTTCTTCAACAAGGAAGAAATGGCTAATACTATTCAATACACTTGTCTGGTAAAATAAGTAGATTTGACATAGGATTACTCATATTTATGAGTAATTTTGTTCGTTAGACATCTGGTTAATTTACAAGGTTAAAATGCTAACTGTTAAATATAACATCAAGTACTCTTCAGTCCTTGAATCCATTGGGTAACATTATTGTTTTCATAAATTGGTAAGTGAAGAAAAAAAGGGTTTAAAGTTCCTTTGTCTTCACTGAAAAAGTTTACTAAGAATTTAAAGTGCCAACAGGTATAATTCTATATACTGAAACATTGTGTTTTCATGAAATGGTAAAGAGATGTGGTTCTATATTCAAAGGTTTATAGAAGATTTCTATACACAAAGGCCCAAAAGGGTAAATAACATAAAGTATTTCTTTTTATTAAAATAAAATAATTTGCCTGTATTCAGAAATTTACAAGGATTGTTTCAGACTATGAACAGAAAAGGGGGTTAAGAGATGGGAAGGAGGAATTAGAAGGCTCTAGGTATGGAAACCATATTTAATAGGAGGAAAAGAAAGTGTTTCTGGATAAGCAAGTCTTTATGTGATGAAGTAAATAAGAGGGTTTCAGTAATAAAGAAAGCCTCTGTAAGTTGATTATATATGTAGGTGAAACAATCAAAGCTATTTAAGGTTTCATCCCTAAGGTCAAATGTTAATGTACTGATATAAATCGAAGTTTAATCTATGTGTAAAAAGGACAAAGATTTCTTGAAACATTAATTTACCCATAACATTGTGTTTATTAAGTTTTGTGGGTTTTTTTAGAGCAAGTAATCTTAAAATTAAACAACAACTGGTTAAACAGCAACTGTTATTTTAGAGCATTGTACTATTATTTCTTTAAAAGCTAAACTTGGTTAATATAAAAACATCCATGTAGTTGTGGTGCTATTACTCTTCTCTGTATATTAAATGTATTCATATCTTCCAGGTATAGATAAGGTAGAAGCTTTAAATGAGCATTATATTAAGCTGGTGTTCTCCAAACTAAAGTTGTATGGTAATTTTAGGCTTATAAGAATAACATATTGAAGATTTATTTATATCATTTAATGTTTTATAATGGGACCTGTTATCAATAAGATACATAAAGTTTTATGTCACTTCTTAAACTGGGATACAATTTAAATGCATTTTTAAGTTAAAGAGAGCTTAATCTATGTAAAGATTTATATTGTAAAACACAGGGGCTGGGGTTGTGCTCAGTGGCAGAGCACTTGCCTGGCATGTGTGAGGCCCTGAGTTCAATACTCAGCACCACATATAAATACATAAATACAATAAAAGATCCATTTACAACAAAAAAATTTTTTAAATATTGTAAAACACAAAAGCATTTTGCTACTTAAGGTTGAAAGCTCTCAGCCTTTCTTTAATTCATGTTTTAAATGTAATATCATATTGTGTTAGCTAATATTCATATGACCTTAAGCAACAATACAAGTAAATTTTGTAAGATGATATTTAAGAACAAAGATCAGCTTCAGAACTAGAATACTTTACCTAAGATTTATAAAGAGCCCCACCTTACCTGAGATAAGGCTCTATCTGCCACCTTTCTACAAGTCAGAATGACTCCAATGTAGGCCAGACTGCAGTTCATTAAATGTTATGTTCAAAAGATTGATTTTTGTTGTTAAGATTACTAGGATCTCAAACAGGGGATATAATACATAACTGAGTAAAAATTCAAGCTAGTTATTATATAAACTAAATACGTTTTTACTCTTGTTAATTTTATTTTGTATGTTCCTTATAAACTGTCTAAATGTTGCCTGTTAATGTTTTGCAGAGATATTGCTTCAAGAACACACAACCTGGTTAATTTAAAATAATAAGCCATCACCTACAGAACAGATAGGATAATATAAACCCCAATTAATAAAAGGGTAAATGATTATAAAGTTATAGACATTAAAGTTTAATGGGGCTGGGATTGTGGCTCAACAGTAGAGCGCTCGCCTAGCACATGCAAGGCCCTGGGTTCAATCCTCAGCACCACATGAAATAGATAAATAAAATAAAAATGTTGTGTCCAACTACAACTAAAAAATAAATATTAAAAAATTTAAAGCCCAATATTCCTTAATTCAAGACTGGTGAGACTGATTTGTAGATGTTTAGATCAAGACTAAAAATTAAAGTTTTATTAAAAGGGCCAAGAAAACCAATATTTGGCTCTTGCCCTCTGAATTAGTCTGAATCTAGGGAACAGAAAACTTCTCTAAAGAGCTTTGCAACTCTGGGCCACATAACTTCCCAATCAGGGAGATTAAAGAGACCCCTGAGAACAGAAATCCAATCACTGCACTTGCTGTGAAGAGGAGGGTCACTGGAGAAGGGAGACATCCCTGATGCTTCCAAGGGACACCACATGGTCAAGCAAGACCTGGACCCATCATAGCACAAATGGCAGTAACAGAACTGAGAAGCTGCTCTCAAGTTACCCCAAGAGCGACTCCCATGGACACTCCACTTACTCCTAACAATAGAAACAAAAGTCGGTTTGACCTGCTTCATCTGAAACACCTAGTAAAAATAGTTAAAACAAAACATAGCCATTCGTGAGCATTTAGAAATAATAATAATAGTTAATGTAACTTAGGATACATTTGTGTTAGCCCCCCAAAATAAGTGAGACAGGAGGCTACAAAAGAGAGACTCTTAGGAAGCAATGCCCAATAACTTCAAGTGAAACTGCAAAATCAGAAGTTTTTAGTCAGAAGGCCTACAGATCTTTCTAACCTCCTATACAGGTAGAATTAATATTTGCTAACATGATTATCTAGCCCCTAGTAACAGAAATAAAGGGTTCTCTACTAGACGCAGAGGTCATACCAATAGAAAGGTTTTACAAGATTAGATGACATTAAGTAGCTTAACTACATCTTATGGACATCTATAACATGTTAAATGTTGTGTTTACATTCCTGATAACTCTGGGGATGTTAAAGATCTACATTCCCAAATGAAGGCCTTGTTCACTCTGGCCTTATTATGGGGACAACTTCTCAGCCCTCACACCTCCTGGTGAGAGATTATTGACTACTCTCATCTTCATGGTATACACTGACATGACCCAGATGCTCCAGTATTTATTCAGTACTCATATTTTTGTTTCTCTGTCTTAGAATCACCCATCCTCCCATGACTTTACAACCTGTTTTCCCCGAACCATACTTCCAACCTGACTAATAAAAAGGGGACTCCAAAGCTGCTTGCCCCACCTCACATTGCCCCCTCTCAGCTCTGAAGCAGCCAGAGCGGTCATTGCCCCTTTTCCTTATAGCAATAAGGAGTTCCTAAAATTGGGGAAAATGAAGCCAAAATTAGGCCATCAGTATAGATAGGTAAATCGAGTCAGGTTGGATAAGGAGGCCAATTTTTAGTGAGTCAGGGAAGTTGGAGACTGTCCCCTGAGGGATTGAAATGTTAGTTCCTTGAGAGCCCTTCTCCCACCCTTATCAAGAACCGGCCCCTGCTCCAACCTGTTGCCAAGGTAACCTGTCCCAGGAATTGCCCCTCCCTACTGGGAGCTATAAGGTTGTTAATCCGTGTGTCCTGGGCTGCTCCATCCTGCCCTTGCCCCTTCAGCCCACCTGTTTCCCACCTCTTGGCATCCCATCAGTTTCCTAGGCCTAGTCAAATGGCTAGTCAAGTATTCAGGAAGGAGAAAGATAAGGGGGACGAGGGCAGAAGAACAAAGAAAGCCTAGGACATATAAAAAGGGCAGAACGCCTCACTTCTTGGAATACCATGATAACAGCTATGGCTCCCTTCTCTCTCCCAGGAGAAGTCTTTGTTGCCCCTTTTTTTGATTAACCCTTGTTTTTTTTGTTTGCTTCGGCTTGTTTTTTTATTTTTCGGCCTTCACCTTTTGGGGGGGCGGGGGACTTGTTCCCGGTAACGGGCGGCATCACAACCATCAAGCAGAAGAGAATGAGGGACAGGAGGCACTCTGCCCATCTGCCTGTGAGGATCTGAATCCTGCCCACCACCTTGTAGCTTGTGGTGAGAAGACCACGACAGCTTCTCTGCTTCTCAGGAACCTGTGCCATGCCTAGAGGCAGAGGGCCTTCCAGCCTCAATTCCTGATCCACAGAACCTGTGAGTGACATTTGTGTTAAGCTGCTAGGTTGTGGGGTTATTTGTCAGCAAGAGCTAACTCTCTATTTTCAATATTAACTCTTCTATTTTGGGAGCCTGGCCTGGTTGCCCCTGCTGGCCAGGTCTGCCACACCTTTATAGGGTATGCAGGCACCATTCCTTTTGCCCCCTCTCACTGTCCCCCTGCCCCAGCTCAGGGAGGGCAGAGTCTGGATGGGGGTGATGGAGTCTGATTAGCCTTCTAGTTCCAATTTCTAGGAAGCTGCTACCCAGGAAACTGGTGGGGAACTAGACCCAGAGTGAGCAGGCTCTGCCCCCAATAGGAAGAAGGAGGGAGAAGGGAAAGAGGTGGAGCCACAGGGCAGCACCCCTCCCCTCCAGGGCCACCCCTAAACACAGTCCAGTCCCTCTAAGGAAGAGAACGCTGAGCTTCACTCACACCCTCTGTACCCTCCTGGTGGCTCTGCCAGTTCTGATGTATTGAGGAACTTTACTTAATCAGAGATTCCTACAGGAAATTCCCAAGTCAAAGTTGGGAGCCAGGTACCCTCTGGGGTTTGAAAGGCACGTCCCCTCCTGCCTTCTAAGCTCCTTCTGTCCTATAGAACTCACATGCCACCTTCCCCAGGAAACCTTCCTCAGGGCCTGTGGGTCTCAGTCTCATCTGTTTTTCCAGCCTCCCTGACATTTTGACCATTCTTCTGTCTTAGCCTTATGCCCTATACACTAATGATCGGCAACTGTTGGACTCTCTAAATTTACATTTTCTATTATTTTGTTTTTGAAGCACTGGGGAGTGAACTGGAATTAAATTCTCAAAGGAGAGGCCCTGTTGGGTGCAGTGGTGCACACAAATGTGTGCACCTCCCAGTGGCTTGGGAGGCTGAGGCAGGAGGATCGTGAGCAACAGTGATGCTCTAAACAACTCAGTGAGACCCTCTCTCTAAAAAAATACAAAATAGGGCTGGGGATGTGGCTCAGTGGTCAAATGTCCCTAAGTTCAATCCACAGTACCCAAAAAAAAAAAAAAAGAGAAAGAAAGAAAGAGGCTCTGTTCCACCAAGTGTTTCCTATTGAAACTCCTCCTGGTTACAGAAGATGCAGGGATCTGT